GGGAAGAGAGACAAGGGTGCCTGAGGATGGACATTACGAAACGTTCAGCGGTTTTACTAAGTCTTCTCGCAGGTATATATTTAAGACCTCCACAAATAACAGTACATTTTTAGTTTAAAATGTTTTTTTTTTTCAAAACATAAGCTTGTTTCACCTATCTAAACAAAACAAAGAAACAAACAAACACAAAATACCACATACAATACGTAATAGATAGTAATAATAAAAAATAAAAAAATAATAATCATAATTCACGTTAAAATAATAACGATAATAATTTTCTTCTTCTTCTTCTTCGCGTTCACCAGCTGTACACTCTGGTGGAATGTTCTGGTTGTTCGTCCACTTCTGAACTGCAGTCCTGCTCCAGAACCTGAGTGTTGCGTGTGCATCAGTTTTACAGATCTTGTTTACTTGAATGCAGACTGTTGGTTCCTTGCCTCTCAGGCAGATGCACTCCGACTTAAAAGAAAGCTCCCCAATTAGTCGACTCTTACGACATGCTTTTGGGTATGCATAGAGTCTATTCTTGTTTTCCCCACGATGAGGTCCCGGAACTCGCACGGGGAAAAGATAATCATAATGTCACACTCGACATGCTTTTGGGTATGCATAGAGTCTATTCTTGTTTTCCCCACGATGAGGTCCCGGAACTCGCACGGGGAAAAGATAATAATAATGTCACACTCGACTATCGCATTTAGACTAGTTTATCACAACTTCCTCTCTAGGATGTCCGAAGCTGACCCCGGTTAAGATGCTGGCCGAAACAAAAAATATCCCCTTGCCTCGATATCTTGACCGGAAGTGGATGTTAATCTTTTAAAAGGAAATTCTCGACGGAAACATTTAATTCGGAGAACAACTAGCTACTTCATTAGGTGGAGAACCTAAGCAGTAAAATCCGACCAACCGTGAACAGCTCTTTATTCCACGTCGGACTGGGTGCGCCTGATGGACAAGGAAACTGTAGACTGAGCAGATGCAACGGATGCACACCGCAAAACTCGAGTCTTTGAACCACGCCAAAGTCTAAACATGGACGAACAATCTAGACTTTCCGCCAGAGTTTACAACACCTCAGTCCAAACAAACATTAGCAGCTGTTAGGAAGAGTTTGGGGTCGGCTGGTTGAAGCTAATATCCATTTGGAGTTTCAATGCAGAAAGGATCATATTGTGAAACAAACAAAGATATATTTATTGGCAATCATAGAAGGAAGTGTGGGTTCGCTTCCTGGCGGAGCCGGACTTTTGTCAAAAATGACCTTGGCTCCCAGGTCGACCGAGCCTTGAATGGGTACCTGGTGCAATCCCGGGAAGTAGAGGCGGGCGGCGTGATGCTGACCACATCAGCCGTCTTGTGCCGATTGGTCCATAAAATATAGGTCTAGCCCTATATGCCCTATACGCCTAAAGTTGTGGAAAAGGGTGCTTAACTTTTTTTTTTAAACATAGAAGGACGTAGGAGTTTAAAAAAAAACACACGCATTATACAATTCCAAAGCTTTAGGTACCATACAGGGAATCGAACTTGTCACGCCTAAAATAACGACATAGCTTCTTTGCAGAAACAAATATACTAAGATGCATGACCACTGAAAGGCGAGAAATAAACGTAAAAATGTTTTGCCACTCTTAACTCTAATTACTTGTTAAATGGCTTTCGACACAATTAGCTGATTTTCAAACGAACACTACACGCAATCCAAATCAAAGCGGCCTTGTGTTGTGTGTGTACATAAAATGTCAGAGTGCTAAAAGCTTACACAAACCAGGCAAACGCCCGATGTTTTTTACACTCTGGATATAAGTTACATAAGTTGGCGCAAAGAAACACTGCAGTGATGTGTGTATGTGCTGTTCTTCAAACACTATGCCAACCCCAATCTGTTTCACATATTTCCTTGGAAAATGTTCTTGACATTTTGTAATGAATATACCCCGTGGGGTGGGGGTGTTGCGGTGGTGCGGGGAAAGGGGGCGGAGGTGTGGTGCGGGGGAAGGGGGAAGGTTAACCCACTGTCCCTCAACAAGAATCTGCTTCAGAGACAAGAACCAACAGCATGCATACAATTAAACGACATCTGTAAAACGGACGTGCCTGCAAATTTCAAGTTCTGAAACAGGAATAAAGTCCAGAAGTGGAAGAACGTCCAAAATTACCGCCAGACTTTACAGCCGGTGAACTTAAAAAAAGTATGCTTGCAGCAGGCGGTGCTTTATATAAAAACACTCCATTTATTCGATTCGTCGTTGTAGCTCAGTGTTCTTCAACCCAGGCACACAGTTTATACGATGGGTTATATTGCTGGATACCCACCCAGTATGGGACACCACTTATTTTATTATTCGAAAAGCCCACCCTGGTTGTTATTGAGGGTCCTAATATAACCTTACAGTTGAGCGGAGTTTCTGGGACTTGGGCCTGTGTGATTCTCATCCGAATTATTTGTGTCCAATAGTGTTTATTGCTTATTGTATGGTTTTGGTTAGGTTGAATGAGTTGATGTGAGTTAGGTCAAAAATTGACATCACAGCACTCGGGGCATTCCCATACTTCCTCCGTCCTCATCTTCAGCAGCCAGCGCAGAGTTTCAATAGTGATGGTACCGGTCACAATCTGGTTATGTGTGGTAAGGTTGAACGTAACAACTTAAAAAGATGATGAGGACATGGGATGAGCTGCATGCGATAAGAAACTATCGGAAGACTTGGCAAGAGTTTCTTGAGGGCCTGTCCTTCATCAGGGAATTATAGGATTACTTGGCGTGAGTTGCTTGAGGGCCTGTCCTTCATCAGGGAAATATGGGATTACTTGGCGTGAGTTGCTTGAAGACCTGTCTTTCATCAGCGAAATATGGGATTACTTGGCGTGAGTTGCTTGAAGGCCTGTCCTTCATCAGGGAAATATGGGATTACTTGGCGTGAGTTGCTTGAAGGCCTGTCTTTCATCAGGGAAATATGGGATTACTTGGCGAGAGTTGCTTGAAGGCCTGTCCTTCATCAGGGAAATATGGGATTACTTGGCGTTAGTTGCTTGAAGGCCTGTCCTTCATCAGGGAATTACGGGCGAAAGACGACGGGTTTTTAAATGACATATATTTCATGATCCTCATTACTTCGATTTCCACATATTGCAGAATGTTTCTTATCTTGATGTGCATTATTTAAGAAAGTGTTTTTAACTTGCAGATTCTAAAGCCCTTTCTTCCTTTTTTTTTAGATGTTTGTAAAGTGGACAATATTTCACTTTTCATTTCTGATATAGAAATTATTAACATTCTTCTTGTTTTTGCATCCGTTTCGATTCATTGTGTGTGTGTGTGTGTGTGTGTGTGTGTGTGTGTGTGTGTGTGTGCTGTGCGTAATCTGCTAATCTGGTAATTTTAGTTTCAGCTTCAAAGCAAACGGGTCACCCCATCTTTGCTACGCTCCTGTGCCAACGAAAAACACACAGAATGTTTATCACAGTCCCTTGTGGAAAGACTGACAAACTGTTGTCTCAGCAAATCTAGCATACACTCGCATTAAAAGCATATGGTAGCCATCCGAAGTGCTAACATAAACAGTCCGACATTAGAAATGCAGTTCATCATTGATGGTTGCAGAAGTCACCAAAAGATCAGCAGTTGCACACGCGATCAATTTGAATCAAATAATGACCCCACCAATATTGCGACAACCGGCATCGCGTCATTTTCTGAATTTACAAATCACACCACCACGTTGGTCTGTCGAAAAACATTCCAAATAAAATCCGCAGCTCACAGTGTTACGCCATGCACTAAACTCAGAAGCTGGGCAACGAAACTATATACTTTCTGTCTACAATGGAGCAATAGAGCAACGGCCACAGAAGCAAAAATGTATGCCTCGGCTCAAAACAGTGGCAGTGCCTAGTATCCATTTGGACCCAAAGCATTATGTGAGGGTTGATAAAATGTCACCCCAGCAGTACCCTACAATTAGCTGGGGAAGGGATTTAGGACATTACATCCACCAGCAAGCATCGCCCCAACAACAACCTGACTGCCTTCGTTAACGACTGTTTACCCAACAGCCATGCAGTTCTTTGGTACGAAGGAAACACCTTGAACTTGGATTTCGGACTGCCGACTCCCTGAATTGTCCTAGCCAAACTTAACCTGCCCTTCAATGACCACTTAGGTGCTGTGTGTGGTGTGTGTGTGTGTTGTGTGTGACGTACTGGAAAGAACAGGTATTATAACAGTTGTCTCAGTCTACGAAGGCTCAGGTGGCTGGGTCACACCTGGAGAATGGAGGATGGCAGAGCCCCTAAGGTATTATCTATAGTGAATTACAGATGGGTAGAACATGTCAAAGCCGACCTCTACTACAATATAAAGATGTATGTAAGCGGGACATAAATGATACAGGTATTAAAGTGAACTCGTGGGAACACATTACCATTGACTGTGTTGTGTGGAGGGGGGCACATCAGGAAGGGAATGACAGTGAAGGAAGAAATTATTGCAAAAAAAACAATAAAAGCTGAGCGTCTGGGAAGAAACGGATTAAACACAAATGTTGACAACAACAGTCCTGAAATCCCATGCTCTAAGTGTAGAAGACTTTTAATGCGGGCTGGTCTTGCTAGTGGCAATCGCCATCGCCATGGGTTGTGAGTCCCATGCCTTCTCATAACGCAATATATCGTCTGGATAGACGGAAAGGTGCCAGTCAGTCAACCGAGCGGGACAAATGAGTTTTAGTCTCATCGCTACTTTCTTTAATCAACTCCATCACCAGCGTCTTAATCGTCATCATCGCCTTCTTCTTTTTCTTCTTCTTTTCTTCTTCTTCTTCTTCTTCTTCTCGTCCTCCTCCTTCTTCTCGTTCTCCTCCTTCTTCTCCTCCTCCTCCTTCTTCATCTTCGTGTCCGTCCTTATTTGTAGTTGCTCTTTTCCTTTATGTCCAGTCTCTGACGTCATCTCTCTATCAACAGTCAGTACAGCAGTAGCTGGACCTCGGCCAACCATGAGCACCTCCAGAGACGACAGATTGGATGGCTACGATGCTGTACAACTGTCCTTGACCTGTCTCAGTGGCGTCGACAGAAAGATGGTAGTGCCCACAAAGAAGCTTCTAGACGTTGTTGCAGGCAAAGGTTATTTACATGTTTCTTCTGTAAAACTATTCTTTAAAGCAGTTACAAGCAGGAAACTAGAAGTTGTATGGGTATGGGAAAGTTAGGGAAAAGTCTGGAGAAGCGAGAAGGAAAAAGCAATAAATCAAATGAAACTTAGATGAGATCAATAATGTCCTGATGACCACAACAGGGGTAAAACATCTGACTTATGATGGAGACACATTTTGAAAGATTGTTACGGGGCGCTTGGGGGGGGGGGGGGGGGGGGGGGGGGTTGCAACACACTAGATGATGATGATGATGATGATGATGATGACGAAGATGACTACGATGATGATGATGATAATGATGATGATGATAATGATGATGATTATGCTAATGATAAAGGTAATGGTGGTGTTGGTTGTGGTGTTCGTCATAAAAGAAGCAGTCGCAAAATACCAAATGTACAACTAACTCCCTGATACGAAATAAAATTAAAAAGACAGTCAACAAATGCTGGGTTTGGCTCAGCAACGTCATGTCAAGGAGACACAATTAGCTAGTACTACTTTACGTTTACTTTTAAAGGAATTATAACGTTGACATAGTCTATGTCTTGGGGGAAGGGGGGTAGGGGCTGCGTGGTTTCCAGGCATGGCGTCTGCCTCGAGTGCTGGAGGTCCCGGGTTCAGGGCACGGTGAAGGCTGGTATTTCTTTTCCCGTTGACTTTTAGTAATTTCCCGTGGTCTCTTGGTAGTAAGATCGAACGCTCGTTTGTATTGCTGCACACGTACAAAAAAAAAAAAAAAAATCCCCTGGCAGTTGGAAACCGAAAATAGTAGCCTAACGGCATCGCCCTGGCAAAAATTTGAGTTAAAAATCTACCGAAAGTATTTCAGGATCCTTGCTGGTGCTACGGAGTTCGTTCACTGCGCTGAGATTCTTCTGACTCAGACTTGAATCAGAAGTAGAACGGAGCCCCTATTCGTTACTACCCTTGTGTCATGATGTTGATTCGTTATTTAAACCGAAACCTAAACCTAGTCTACAGCTTCTGGTTGTTGGTGTTTTTCCCCCCACAGAAGATGTGGCCTTTAAAGATGCTGGCATCCCAAGGGATTCCTACATATTTGACCTGCGGTCTTCAGCTGGCACTGCCAAAGTGGACATCGACAGCCTCAAGCCACTGCCATGGCTGACACATGACGGACATCGAGTAGGAGGAGTCTTCTGTGAGTTGACACCGCCTACAGTTGGAGGTGAAATATCGCCTAGGTCAGTAGCCTTAAAGCAGGTGGCACGTCTGAAGGACACCTTTGGTTTGACCATCAAGTCGGCGCTGGAGGCGGAGTTTATGATTTTTGAGGTTAGTATCAACCCCTAGCTATTACATCCAAGTGGGTAGCCGGTTTATGTGTGGACTGTTAAAATGCCTCATGCAAATAATTGTGCGTGTATATGGCTGTATAAGACGTTGGTTTCGACAGTGGTATCAAGAAAGCCGACCGTACAGAAAGCAATGCAACGTAAATTTGCCTAGAAAAAAAACCACACAGCAGCCAAGGGCTGTTGGGTTTGGTTCTGCAACGTCCTGTAAAGGATACGCAACTAATTTTTGTCAGCTCTGTGGCTAAGTCGATGCGAACGCTTTCTAATGCCGTGTTCGATCCCAGCTGCGGGCCATGTGCCTTGCGTTGGTTTCGACCGTGATATAAAAAAAGCCGATCGTCCATAAAGCAAAGGCAAACTACTGAAAGTAAATTTGCCTAGAAAAACCACACAACAGCCAGGCGCTGTTGGGGTTGGTTCTGCAACGTCCTGTAAAGGATACGCAACTAACCTATATGGCTGTATATCGTGACCGACTGCTTCCTTCAACAACAAACTGGTGGCGACTGTTGGCTTTGGCGCCTCTAACAACTGCTTTATGTATGCACATATGCGCATTTTTCTACACTAATTGTTTGTTCACCATTTTCACTGGCGCAGGAAAGGAGCAAGTGTGGGGTGATCCGACTGCAGTGTTGTTGAAACCCCGACTAAGACTAGGATTTTCCAATCACCCCGTCTGAGGACTACTTATCAACCCAAACACTCCTATATATCACACCCACACACGTACACGTACTCACGTACACATACACACGCACAAACACACACATATATTTGTATATATATATATATATATACATCCATACACGTATTGACATACATACACATTCATAGAAAACAGCGAGACAGATAGACAGATAGGGGTTGGGGGGAGTGGGGAGACACACATACACACACACAAAAACGGACAGGGAGAGAGAGAGACAATCAGGAACGAAGTAGGGTGAGAGAGAGAGAGAGAGAGAGAGAGAGAGAGAGAGAGAGAGAGAGAGAGAGAGAGAGAGAGGAGAGAGAGAGGAGGGGGGGGGGGGGGGGGGGGGGGGGAGATGGCATACACAAAACTGAATACCAGAAATAAAAACGGGAACTAATGTGACAATACATCGCTGACATCTTTGGGAGCTAGAGTTCAGCAATCCAAGTTCACCGTGGCAAATCGTTTGTCAAGTGCCCTTTACAACACTATAATCTGTCATAGCTTGGCAATCATGTCTACTCTCTCTCTCTCTCTCTCTCTCTCTCTCTCTCTCTCTCTCTCTCTCTCTCTCTCTCTCTTTCTCTCTCTCTCTCTCTCTTTCTTTGAGTATGTGTGCGTGGGTTATTAAGTGATTGCTGCATCAGATGAGGGTTGGGGGGGGGGGGACGTTGGGGTGTTACGTTGACACGCAAATTATGCATTAGGGTTAGTGCTTGAGTCATAAGCCGCTGGTTGAATAACCTTATTTCCACATGGGTTCTGGGGCCCAGTTTGGAGGGGATGGGGGAAGGCGTCGGAGGGAAAGGGCGGGGGAAGGGGGCGGGGTGTGTGGAATAGACTTCGTGTCTCTCTAGAAGAGAATAGACCCACTGTTCTCCTGACAAGCATTTTGTAAAGGGCAGCCAATCAGGAATTGTTTCCTTCTGTTTGAGAGGCCATGGACCAACAGTCTGCACACAAATAAGCCAGATATGTAAAATGGCTGTAGTTCTGGAACAAGGTTTAAAGTTCATAAATGGACGAACAGGCTGTTGGACGTAAGGAAGAAGAAGTACATTGAAACATCCTAGTAATATATATATATATATATATATATATATATATATAATATATATATATATATATATATATATATAATTAATAAAGAGAAATGTATTGATTGGCACTCACAGAAAGAAATAGAAAGACAGAAGGGCACACTAGAAAACATAAGAATAAAAAGCTATAGTTGCCTTGCCAGGAGTCGAACCTGTCACCTCCATATAGCGTCTGTGCCTTGCTATGGGAACAAGCGTACTAAGAACGCAACCAGCTAGGCACCCCCCCCCCCCCCCCCCCCCCCCCCTCCCTAAGGTGTCTTCATTGGCCATGTCTATCGTCTAGCTTCATATCCACAACGATGGAATACAGACATAATTCATTTGAAACCACTGAAATTTATATTAACGAAGCAAAGGTCGAATAACTTTTATATGCAGAGTAGCTCAATGGCTTACTGCATTCGATGTCCTCTTTGGCATCCTCTGCTTTGGTTATAGTTTGCATTGGCTATACGCACTTTCACAACAACAACAACAACAGCAACAACAACAACAACAACAACAACAACAACAACAACAACAACAACAACAACAACAGCAACACACATAAAACCCTTGACCCGCTAGGATCGTGGATGTGTATCAGTAGAAGAACTAACATACAAAACCATCCATCATTCACTGTCTGTCACCTGTTGAAAAAGTGTATAATAATTTAGTCCTGTCCATTTCTTGACTTTGTCATTCCTGGATCTTCTTTGCCCTCCTTTTCTTCGACTACCACCCCATGCCCCTTGAACTACAGTCTTTGCAAATCGAATCCTATCTTACCTCTTGTCCGAACCAAGCTAGCTTGCGACGTTTCACCACTGCCAAGAGCGGTTCCTGATGTCCTGCAATTTTTTTTTATTTTGTCTCTGATATATTTGTTAGTGCCGATTTTCCATCAAACACTCCATTGGGCCGTCGGTTTGCTTGGAGCTGCCCATGGCCAGTCCAAACATCTGAACCCATGTCTACGTTTGTACATTCTCCAAACACACATACAGAGATAACTCTTGGAACAGCAACGTTGATTCTGATTCTCCTATTTAGCTTCAGAAAATGCAGAGACGACCCACAGTTGTCATTCGAGCTGTTAAGAAATGGCTACCTAAACTCGACAAAAACCCGATATAGACAATGCGTGCATGAATTTGCTTCGGTTGTGGACGTAAATTATACAAAACATTATGATGTGAAAACGACAAACTGAGTTATATTGTCAGTGAACTCCATACATTTTGCTCAAAAAGTTTGCGAGAAATAAAATACGAAGCATTACTTTCTGAATGTCCCTAGTATAAATGACATTGAAATAAGACCAGCCACAAACCATATAAAAAATTATGTGGAAAAAGTAGAGACGTGGTTGTATTGACGAATGATTAGAACACTGTTCCCAGACAAAAAGAGCCTTGAAAATGTCTTGAAATAAATTTGCAAGAGAACTTACTGCATACATCACAAGGAGACAATCTATATTCTTTGAAAACATAACGAAAAAGGTGAAACCTTTGTGCGTCATGATGTTCGGAAAGCTAAAAGGCATGAGAGTCAGGGGGAGACCGCCAGAGTAGATGCTGTACACTTCGACATCATGGTCTTGCAGATTATCTGTGTCAGAAGTGATTGAAAGTACAAGTGGTAGAATACAAACGGACCACTAACTCCATGAGTACCAGAAGAAGAATAAGAAGAAGACGAAGAAGAAGATGAACAACAAATTGTCATCATCATAATCATATTCATCAACCACTTCTACTTTTAAGCGTATTGGGGAGGAACAATTAGTGATCAGTGTACTGACTGTTATCATCTCGTGAAGAGTAAAGTGTCTTTAATTAAGCAATATAATAATATGAATCAATAATAATAATAATAATTAATAATAATAAAAAAGTGTCTAAAACGAAGGTGGAAATAATAGCTGCCATAAATGACATGGCAATCAAAGCATTTATAAATGACATAAAATCAAGCCAATTATCGATGATGGGGAAATGAATGTCCTGTCCCGCAACCTTCGGGAAATTATCTTCTGTTGGCACTAATGAGCAAAGTGTATGATATTATCTACAACATTTCACATTTTTGAAACAGTTGCGTCAGATGTACTTGATATTTCTCCTCAACCTTTTTTTTTTTCTTGGGTCAGTGGGTCTGTTTCCTTCAAATTGCAGCCCCATAACCCATACAGAGTAAATGTACACATTTATTAAATACAACATAAACTTGAACAGAAAACTCAACTGACGAGTCTCCCATTGAGTTTTCTAGTCACAGTATGTGATGAGTTAAGTATTTCGTTGATAAAGACTTTGGTCGAAACGTTCGGTTGTATTTATCTTCTATTCCCTCCGTTGAGCTTTCAAGCCGCGGTTTGTGTTGCATCTGGTGCTGCATTGACTTGACTACAACCACTCCTATTTACTTTTAGAACATCAAATGTTCTTCTTACAAAGAAAATCGAATAATGACTTGCTCTGGTCTGTCTATAAAATGGAAATCATCTTGTGCTGGTTTCAGTGGCTTTCTGATTAGTTTGTTTATTCTCTTCTTCTGTTGATACAAGACTGGTACAGCAGATTGCTCATCCTTTGTTTTTTTAACAAAGTTAAAACTGCTCATCTTCTTCTTCTTCTTCTTCTTCTTCTTCTTCTTCTTCTTCTTCTTCTTCTTCTTCTTCTTCTTTCTTCTTCTTCTTCTTCTTCTTCTTCTTCTTCTTCTTCTTCTTCTTCTTCTTCTTCAGTGTTCTGAGCCATTGAGGTTCACTGCTGCAGATATCACCCGCCTCCATCCATCTCTCTGGTTGGCCTTCTCTTCCCACCAAGTGTTTGCAGGTCTGTCTGGACATTATCTCTCCGTCGTCTTCTTGGTCTGTCTCGTGGACTAGGACAATTCAGCCCCATTGTGTTTACAGTTTTTACCTCTCTGTGATTTGATATTCTCTCAATATGCCCAAGCGATTTCAATCTATTAGATCTCCCGATGCCAGAGATCAATGGTGATTTTAACAGATTATGAATTTCATTTATGAACCCTGCTCATAAAAATCAATAGTTTTTGTTTTTGTTTTTTACCAACATGAAAATCTATCCAAGTCACAATGATCACAAATGAGTGACATCTCTGAACTGATGATTCATCATCCATCATCCTGTAACAATGTGTGTTGCTGGGTCACCAGTTGCTGCTGCCTCATTCGCACCTTCCTTAGCTAGTTTATCAGCTTTCTCATCTCCGGAACCTCCTAGGGAGTGGTGTCCATTGAATGGTTAGTTACCTTTCACCGGTTGCCTAGTTTGGAGTCCGGTTACCTGGCAATTGTCCACATTCGAGTGCTCTTGCATCTGTAAGAAATACCACTGGTTATGAAATAGGACATTTATTTAGCAAGTTTGTCTGCTGCTGTCCTCATGTCTTGAACTTCTGCATCAAAGTTGTAGCAGTGCTTTCCTGTTGGTATTTTGGCTGTATATCTGGTATTATTTGGATGTTCAGTGTGCACTTCTACTCCTCTATTTCTGCTTGCGTTTTATGATGACTCATCCGTGATGACGCGAACCCAGAGATTCTGTGCGCATTCATCATCATGTTCAGCTGTGTCACTACTCTGTTAAATCTACTACATCTTGGTAAATGTGCTATTTACAATGTTCTACACGTTTATATATTCGGTAAGATATTCTAATAATGCTGACATTTGTTGCTTAAATCTGTAACGCAAATATTATGTGTCAAAGTGTGTCTTTGCAAATATATTCACAGAAAGATGGGAGGACCCCTTTCAACAACGTGGATCGTGAAGCCTACGGTAGAGTCGACAACATGGCTGGAAAAGAACACTGTATATTGGACGCATGCTTCTCTTTGCAGAAGGCGGGGTTACCAATTGAAACGTTCTTATCAGAATTTGCCGCTGGTCAATTTGAGATGACTTTTCGTCCTCAAGAGGGCGTGGCTTCTGCAGACACTATTATGCTCATGAAAGAAGGGTTAAGGGTGAGCCTTGGAAAATATGATCTTATACCAACGTTTATGACAATTCCCAGTGATCATGGCCATGCAAACGGATTTCATCTGAACCATTCGCTTTGGAGTGACGAAGGAGTGAATGAATTTATAGATTTGAATGATCCGATACAAATATCAGACACTGCACGTCACTGGATAGCTGGTCTGATATACCACGCTCCCTGCATTGACAGCTCTGCTATGCCCCACCCTGAACTGTTACATTCGACTCACTGATGAGATGACTCCCACAAAAGCAACATGGCTTGAAGAAAGCAGGGCAGCGTACTTGCGTCTCAAAACTGAACGCAGCAATATTTATGTTGAAAACCGACTTCCCAGCAGCGCATGTAATCCCTACCTTGCTCTGGCAGGAACCCTGGCTGCAGGAATTGACGGGTTGGAGCGAAAACTCCAATGCCCGATACAGGACGACCCTACAGCTCCATTTATCCCCAAGACATTGGAAGCAGCGGCATCTGCTTTGGAAGAGGATCATATTTTGATCAGGGCTCTTGGGGAAGATTTCGTAAATGCATTTCTGTGTCTTGTTAATAAAACTCTTAAGGATAAAACTGAAAAACAACTGGAGAATATTGAGTGCCAAAGAAGTATTTATTTTCATTGCATTTAAATGAGTTACAGAGCTTTGTTAGACAGCGCTAATTTATTTAGTTCTAAAGAGGACAATATACACATTCAAACGATTGTTTCATGACAGGATCGATGTCAAACAAAAGAAAAGAAGGTATTTCACCCATATAGAAATCAGGTAAGGTACTGTTCACGTTTCCCGGCCCATCTAAACACTGTATGACCTTTCATTCATACTTTCTCAGACTGTTCTACGTCAGTGGGGTGTCACATTGTCTTGCCTCCAGTTACATCAGCGCCGATGTGGCGTGTTTTGTACTACACAACGACACAGCTTTTAACGACCCCAGAACATCTAAAACTGGCCCTAACCCTAACCCCCCTACAAACCGCCTGAGCCTAGGTCACACGAGAGACTCTTTTTGAAGAAAGCAGTACAACTTGACACCCCTCTGACATAGAGCAGACTGAGAAAAGTGTGTAGATTGGCCGGAAAACTGAAAGGTCCTCAGGTAATTGCGTTTCGAACGTAGCATTCAGGCCACCCTATAATTTATCGTTTCCCGTAGCAATGAAAAGCAAGAGGACGTCCATAACTCTCCTTGTGCAAAGAAACAAAGAACCCCCCAAAAAAATGGCATTGACTTCAGTCTTAGTAAATCCAACAGCATGCACATGTATTAAATGCATAAGACAGCAGTCGGAAATGCCAACACAAATAATCAGACGCTAGTTCATTGTCGATGGAAGCAGCTTTTACAACAGATCAGTCATTTGACACACAGTTCATTGGATAAGGCACCATCAGTTCTGTGGCAACGGGCCAATTGACATTTTCGGAATCTACAGTTCACAGCACAAACCACTTTAGGCACAGTCCAAAAGTATTCTAAATTAAATATACAGCTCACAGTGTCGCGCCATGCACTCAACCCTGGTAGCTGAGCGACGGAACGGTATCCTTTCAGTCTACATATGGAGGAAAATTAGGACGGATAACTGTTGTCAGTAGCAAACACTTGCAACGGCTAAAACAGTAAGCACTCTGTCATGATTGGGGTAGGGGTTGGAGAAAAGGGGATTGTGGGACTGCTGTCAAAGCACTAAATGTGTGATCCTCATGATGTACACACGGACCACAGAGGCCACGTGAACTACCTGAAGTAAGGAAAGGTGAGCTCAGGTTGTGAACCGGCTGGGGACAGACGTCGACCGAACATCCTAGCGGACAGTCTGGACAACTGTAGTGTGGCCATGCCTCATGAAGAATGGTTTTAGTTGTTAATTTAGATAGCCTTTGATAATATGTTGAATTATTTAAAACGATGTAAAAATGATAGAATAATAAAGGTAAAAATAACAGCTCAACATGTTGTATCTTCATCAGACGTTCTCGTGTGGATTGTGACTACATTCTGATACAGTTTGTTCGTGTTGTCATGACCGTGATTGTGTTAATGTGCTTTGTATCAACAATTAACTATGTGACAGCACTCATAAGTCTTGTTACTTATCAAGCCCAGGCACTTGGAGGCGAATATGAGAAATACAAACGAGGACGTCGGTCAGTGCAAGTTGAAGGACAATTATAAACATGTGCCCTGACCTTGCCACCTGTCTCTCGACCCCTGACAATTGGAGCCTATTTACCATGCTGACCAACAGCGATGCTCATCGACCCATATCGAAAGACATTTTGTTGAAAGATGTGCTGGAGAGATAAGTAATAAGGGGATTTGAGGGGGGGGGGGGGGGCGCACGAGGCATATTTGAGACAGATGTGTGGGCTGTATCAAGAGATGTGCTTCAAGACTGTATGAATGTGATACACAGATGCAGGATAGATAGTTGTACAAACTTAAAACCCATCTTCAGTGAGACGATATGTTGTTGATTGAATGGCTCATTGATGATAATCTTATGATACATAATCAAAATTGTTGTCTATTCTTGCAAGTTAAATACAACGGCATTACTATCAGCCATTAAGAACGCATTACACTTGGATGTTCCGATAGTCTTTTCCATAGCCGAGATCTTTAGACGGTTGCGTGCCATCTCATTCTGTAGGGTAGATAGGAACTCTTCAATCATTTTACATTTGCCGACAGGGAAAATAGAGAAATATTTCTCGGGCTTGGTGACGACAAGAACAAATGTAGAGAGTATTTTATTTATTAAATACTATGTTTTAAAATTACAACTCCACTTTTCTTTAGTTCCCTCGCCCTCAGTTATAACCTCCCCCCCCCCCCCCCCCCCCCCACGAAGATTGCAGTGTGTAGGATTATTACGATAAGCTTAAGAATCAGACACGTACAAATAAATCCCCGGAAACACCGTTCAACCGTTAAGTCATATGGCACAGTTATTTTGGGGCATCATAAATCCGCAACGAAGTAACCTGTAGTCCGTGTGGGTGAGGCTGAGGCTAGGTTGCGGCTGAAGATGGGGATGAGGCTGAGGCTACTTGGAGAGTTAGGAAATCTCATATCATGGCCGGGTGGTAATCAGAGCTGGATTGTAATCATGACCGGGTGGTAATCAGAGCTGGATTGTAATCATGACCGGGTGGTAATCAGAGCCAGATTGTAATCATGACCGGGTGGTAATCAGAGCTAGATTGTAATCATGACCGGGTGGTAATCAGAACTGGATTCAAATCATGGCCGGGTGGTAATCAGAGCTGGATTGAAGTCATGGCCGGGTGGTAATCAGAGCTGGATTGTAATCATGACCGGGTGGTAATCAGAGCTAGATTGTAATCATGACCGGGTGGTAATCAGAGCTGGATTGTAATCAGAGCCGGTTGGTAATCAGAGCTTAAATGTAATCAGGGCCGGGTAGTAATCAGAGCTGGATTGTAATCCTGGCCGGGTGGTAATCAGAGCTGGATTGTAATGAGGGCCGGGTGGAAATCAGAGCCTAATTGTAATCATGGCCGGGTGGTAATCAGAGCTGGATTGAAATCAGGGCCGGTTGGTAATCAGAGCTCAATTGTAATCAGGGCCGGGTGGTAATCAGAGTCCTAAATGTAATCAGGGCCGGGTGGTAATCAGGGCAAGAATGTAATCAGGGCCGGGTGGTAATCAGTGTAAGAATGTAATCAGGGCCGCGTGGTAATCAGGGCCGGATGGTAATCAGGGCCGAGTGGTAATCAGGGCTGGTAATCAGGGCCGGATGGTAATCAGGACCGGATGGTAATCAGGGCCGGATGGTAATCAGGGCTGGTAATCAGGGCCGAGTGGTAATCAGGACCGGATGGTAATCAGGACCGGATGGTAATCAGGGCCGAGTGGTAATCAGGGCCGAGTGGTAATCAGGACCGGGTGGTAATCAGGACCGGATGGTAATCAGGACCGGATGGTAATCAGGACCGGATGGTAATCAGGACCGGATGGTAATCATGGCCGGATGGTAATCAGGGCCGGATGGTAATCAGGGCCTGATGGTAAATCAGGGCCGAATTTAGACTTGATGAGGACATAAGATATATATAAAACTTTGAGGCACCTACTGTTTTGGATTACACCAGTCAATCTCAGACAACGTTAAAATATAAAAGAGTTTAAAATGCATCGATAATGGAAATGTATTATCGTTCAATTTTTAGCAACATAAATAATTGAGAATGTACCTGAAAAAAAAAGAAAAAAAAAAAAAAGAGACAGAAATTATGTCATTTTCTAAAAGACACTGAAAGAAATTGTGTCTGAAAAAAATAAATTATTAAGTTGTTGAGGCTTTAGGCTGGAGCTTATGCCTAAATCCAGGATCGGTGGTCATTACTGTGTTGACCACCGGTGATTTTCCGGTGGAGATTTGGGGGGGGGGGGGGGGGGGGGGCTGATATAAATATTATGATGTCTAAAGTAGCGACTGCGGGGGCCACACGATCTTAAATCATTTATACTCACGAGTCACTAGTCAGAAAATTGTATTTGTATGGTTTCTTGAAAGTTCAACAAAGGGGGCTGGGGTGGGGAAAAAGGGGGGTGGGGTGGGGAAAAAGGGGGGGGGGGTGTTCTAGGATTGTTGGTGGTAATGGCTTGACGCCTACAAGTTGATGAGTCGAATACACACTTTGTTAGCACTGCAGATACTGTGTTATTATTATTTACTTGTTTGTAGTTTAGAACAACGTTGCAGTAGCTGTTACTTTTTCCACAATACATACAATTTCAGAAGAAGCCTAAATACGTAATTACTCGCTTTTTCTTCTTCTTTCATGTTTATGGGCAGATATAATTTTGTTGTTGCTGTTGTTGTAGATGTTGTTGTTGATGTTTTTATTGTTGATGTTGTTGTTGTTGATGATGTTGTTGTTGATATTGTTGTTGATGTTGTTGGTATTGTTGTTGTTGTTGTTATTGATGCTGTTATTGTTGTTGTTGGTGATGTTGTTGATGTTGGTGTTGTTGTTGATGATGTTGTTGTTCTTGTTGATGTCGTTGTTGTTGATGTTGTTGTTGGTTTTGATGTTGTTGTTGGTTTTGATGTTGTTGTTGATGTTGATGATGTTGATGTTGTTGTTGTTGATGTTGTTGTTGGTTTTGATGTTGTTGTTGATGTTGTTGATGTTGATGATGTTGATGTTGTTGTTGTTGATGTTGATGTTGATTGATTGTTGATGTTGTTGTTGTTGTTGATGTTGTTGTTGGTTTTGATTTGTTGTTGCTGTTGTTGTTGTTGTTGTCCAACACAAACTGAGGCACGTGAACTCACACTGGGAAAATTAGCCAGAATTATTGTAGCGAATGTGCAGGACAACAGCTCTTTCGTTTTCAGCGCTACTGAGTGCTATGTTTAGGCATCAGCTAAATAAGCTACAGATTAGGGCCTCCCAATCTGCAGGGGCTTCAACAATTCCTATTTACTATTTTACTATGCCGCATATCTGTTGATGATATAATCAATGAATTTTGTTTATTTGTTTGGGGATGGGGAGGGAGGCAAGGGAAAAACGTGTTTAAAGTTGAAGCTTAGCCTTTTAGTGTTCTCCAGGTGCAAACTCCAGTTGAGAGTTGTGGTTATTCGTCC